TTCACCCCCCTTCTGCATGGAGTTACGGTTAAATTTTTTTTTTTTTTTTGGTTTTTGTGCTTGTTGTTGACACGTATAATATTTATTTATTTATATATTTATTTATATATCTTATGTATATATCTTATAAATATATAAATATAAATGAGTGTACATGTGTAGCAGATCTTATGTATAATAAATATATGTATGTGTATGTAATATATAATATATGGATATATCACTTTTTTTTTTTTTTTTCTTTTTTTTCTTTTTTTTTATTACCGGTGTTTAATTGGCGTCCGTGTTATTGTGTGCTTTTCTTTTTTTCTTTTTTTTCTTTTCTTTTTTTATTGAAATTTATTTCTACTGTTAAATTTGGATGTCTACAGATGGAGTTTTATGTGATTTCATGTAATTTATTACTTTTTACACCCTTCCCCCCCCCTCTCTCTTTTCCATTTCTCCTCCTTCTCATTGTAAAAGACAAAAATTTATTTTTTTCTTCTTTTCTTTTCTTTTCTTTTTTCTTCAGTTGGTTTATTTTCTCCTTTCACAGCCACAAGAGACAAAAAAAAAAACAACAAAAACAACAACAACAAAAAAGAAAAGGGGTGGGTGGGTGGGTGGGTGGGGGAAAATTCCCATTTAAAAGGTGGTGCTGGAAGTCCCTGTTGTTGTTGTTGTTGTTGAAATTAACGGCACCACATTTGAAGGGTACGAAGTCCTCGGGTTGCTTTCACACACGCATATAAATAAATAAATATATAAATATATATATATAGAGAGAGAGAGAAAGAGAAAGAGAACGCGTCTGTCTGTCTGTCTGTGCGTGCGTATATATATATATCTTCTATCTATCTATATCTATATATATATGCTACATTTTATTCCGGCAAAGGCATCTTTGCGGTGCGGGGGTGATGGGAAGTCATTTTTAAGCATCCCGCCAGCGTGGCTTCAAGGGTCTTCTAAGTCATCTACATTTTCTTCTACATGCTCACCCCGTTTCTATTCTCCAGGGGCATGTACGATGGGGAGTGCTTCCATGCAAATGGAGCAAGGGTGTGAAATTCCTCCTGGCTTCTATTTTGAGCGACTTGTAGGAATGGAGTTTATTGGCTCCTCGTATACATTAGGCTCGCTTCAAGAGGCAGTGTTGGCGTTCATTCGGTCGGAGCAAATGGGTGCGTTGGATGCGGCAGCGGTAGAAGCGGCATCGGCATCATCGCCATCATCTTCCGCCGGTGAATTAGATGGGGGCGAGGGTGGGGGGGAGACGTTATCGGTGGTATATTTCATGGTACTCCTTGTTGCCTCTTGCAATGGGAAGGACACATCCATTGAGGCGGTACGGTGTGCCTTCTACGGCCCGGATGATGCTCAGGATGAGACGCACAGTAGCAGGATGCCTGGTGAAGATGCAAAAGAAACGGACTCCCCGCCCTTTTTAAATTTGGAGGCGGAGTACACGGACCGGGATCCGGATCTCTTGCTGCAGTATCTGTGGGATCAACTGCACAGCGAGACACAGTCAATGTGGTGTGGGGCGGGGTGCAGTGTTCCATTTCCCACCGCGGCATCGACATCGTCCTCATTTCAAATTATTGACCGGACGCTGTTGCTGCTCCGTGCAGGTGTGCTGGATATTGTTCAGGCAAGTCTGACAATGTCACCATCGTGCATGCCAACTTTAACAGGAACCACAGTTGCAACAATGCAGAAGAAAAGGAGAAGGAGGAGGGGAGGAATGACAGAAAAGGAAAAGGGAGTCCGTGAGTCAATGAAGCAGCCTGCATTTTCGGCCTTGACAACGGTGTTGGATGGAAACAGTCATAATAATACGGTTGGGGAGTTGGGATTTTCTCAGTTGTGTGCGGAGGTACCGAAGGCGTTTCATCATGGGCTGATGTTGTCCTTCACAGAGCGGTTGGATGCACGGTTGGCGTCGGTAGCGATGCCAGATGGGGGGCGACAACACGAACGACGCTCCTTTGCGAGCCTTCGACGATTTCTGCAGCGTCAACAAAAGCAAATGAATACCGCCGCTGCCTCGGCTTCTGCTTCTGTTACTTCTACTTTTCCTTCTAATAGAAGGACGTTTCCTATGAATAATACCGCTTCTCCTTTTTCTGTCACAGAGGAGGCGTTGAGTTTGGCCCCATACCGTTACTTTGTATGGTTGCATGTTGTTGGAACGGACATTTTTTACGAGGCAACCGTGACGGAGAAAATAAGTGTCCCACTCCCCGCACGTCAAAAGTGTGCCCCGACAGCAGCCGCACCGGTGGCGGCGTCGGTTTTCAAACGAACTAAATCCGCGACATCTCACAGTAGTTGTAGTGGCACAAGGGAGTCTGCTGCAATGTGTCCAGAGGAAGCGAGTGCCAGGGGGGTGGAGGAAGAAGAGAGAATTGAGGAAGAAGATGGTTCTCTTGGGCGACCGCTTTCATCCCTCCCCGCACTGCTACCAGTTTCCGTGGGCCACGATGATACGCCTCTCTGCGATGAGGCGAAAATTGCCGTCATGTCGCTTCCAGCGAATGCCTTTTGTCAGATGGGATATTTTTTAAAACGCAAAAAAACCGATCTTGTGAAGGAAAAGAAAGGAAGAAAGTTAATCACCACGTTTCATTGGATCTCCGCCTCTGACTACGCCAAGCAAGGCCTACAGGTGAAAGAGGTATCGTATGTACAGGAGGGAGACACGAAGAATACTCCAGGGGCGTTTTTTTTCGCAGAGCTTAAAGGAGGGAAACGCCACCAGAAACATGCAACTCGACAGGAGGAGCGGTCAGTGGGATCATCCGCCTCCGCCGGTGCGGGCCGGTTTGGAACGTTGGAGGTGCGCTCGGCCGCGCAATGGAGCTTGGCGCATTACCCGCAGTGGCACCACTGGGATCCCGTGACTCAGAGGCTCTCGTTTTGGGCGGCCTTTCAAACGTACGATAAGCTGCGTATCGTTGTCTTCAATGGACATCCCGATCGGCGTTGCTGTGAGTTTGAGCGAAATCTTCCGCGGCGGCGTCAGACGGTGTCTTTTTCTTCCACTACCGCCACTCCAAGTTACCACACACGGCATGATGATGCCGCGGATGCGGCAATGACGATGCAAGTTGCCGTGGAGCGTGGCTTTGGTGTGTCTGGCAGTTCATGTGATGTGCATCGCAGTGCGGCTCTCGGCGGTGGGGCTACGTTGTTGGAGCCGTGGGGCACGGCGTGCTGTTCCGCTCTTTCGCGTATTCACATGAATCTTCTGCCCGTGCAGTATGAGGATGGAATTCGGGATTCCGTTTTGTGTGAGCAGCTCTTCCTCTCACGCGTCTCCTACCCCGTCTCCTCCTGCACCTTGCCATTGGCTGTGGTCGATATGTCGACGGAGACGTCGAAGTGGGGTCTGGATACCTCCCCACGCGTGTCAACGAGCGCTACCAACGGCATTGACGACAGGAACGACCGGAGTGTGAGGGAACATAACCCGTTGAAATTACGACCAGACGGTGACGTGCATTTTGGAATGTCGAGATATGACACCAGGCTATCTAGTGGGGAAGAAGTACCACCGCCGACGCGACCACGCACGGCGGTGACCCCCGCATCAACCATTGAAATTGGTCCACCTGCAATACTTTGCATGATTACGGCACTTCGTAATCAAGTGGATGCGGTGAAGGTCACCATTCCACTCACATATGAAGAGCGTTGCCGTGTCACGTATGACACGCGTGTGACATTTTTATTTATGAAGGGTATGATTGTGATTTATTTGCCTGGTGTCTTTGTTCATTATGTTGATTTGCATCATAAGGATACACCACCGCGTTATTTATTTGGAGTACAATTGAATCATCCGGCTTCATTAAGGAGCGAGGCACTTTTTACCATGATAAACACCAATGTTACGGCCACATCTGCTCCCACACCACTGGTGACGTATCTGCCGGTTCCATTTGGCCATTGGTTGTATGTACCCGGCACGGCGATGCTTTTTGAGGTTTCACTTCACCCGTCCGCCGTGTGGGGATTTATACGACGTTTGTTAATACGTCGTCGATTGTGTCGTGAACGGGCGAGTGAGTTGTTTACGACTGGCGTTTTTTCCCCATCACAAGGAAGAGAAGAAGAAGGGAAAAATGATGGGAATTGCTACATCAACGATGGGAGCATCGTTCAGTACTTTGGGTGGTCATGCCAGACGTCGGATTCACCCAGTTTAGGCGAACGAATACAACCACAGAGGGCCTCACCTGCGCCATATGTACTTCCCACCGCACAGGACGAGACTCTCATGGATCCCGCCGTCTTTGCCACTTTTCTTCAACCGGCCCCATTGTATTCTGCCTTGCATGTCGCTCTTACGCATCTCAAGCCATCACGCGAGGGTGACGACGATCACTTTATTCCATCGTCTCCACTGTCATCAAGTTCACCAAGTTGCCGTCATGAAACCGCGTCGAGGTCAAACACCCGCTCCCAATTGCTTGCGTCATCGCGTCTGGGGTGGGAGGAGGTATGGGCGGCGCGGGATGCGCAGCTTGAAAAGATTTTTTCCACTTATCTTTCCATGGATATATGGCGGGAAATATCCGTGGAATTAATTTCAACGTTAGTCATTAGTGAGGCATATGAACGTACGCGTGCTGCATGCCGTTGGCCTCTAGTACAAATGTGGAAGAAGGATATGACGGAAGACGGCACATCTAGGCGAGACACATCTACCTTCAATACGGCTTCTGTGGGTGTATGTAATCCATGCTATGTGTATTTGCCAATATGGGACCCCGCGGGTCTTGAGGCGGAAGAAGTGCATTATCGTCGTGAGGTGGTTTCTTTTTATAGTGCCTGGCGCCAGCTACAACAGCAGCGGCAAAAACATCATCAACAACGAGAGCAACAGCAGCAGTATGAGGAAGAAGAAGCGGAAATGATGCCTGCGACATCTATTGGTGGTGTATCATGCCATTATGGGTTAAATTCTGAGTACGCAGGTTGTGTGAGGGAGAAGAGTGTACCGTTGGGAGTGAACATCGCCCCATCCTCACCTCTTTCCACTCCAACTCTCACAAGAGAAACGACACCAGGCATTCATTCAGCATCGGTATCGGAATCACCCTCGCATTGGTCTAAGAGGAATCCACCTTGCGCGTTTTGTGATCCATTTAAAAGCACCACCGTATTTCCAATTGTTGCATCACCGCGCTTTATGATGAAATCTGTGGAGCGAAGTACCAGGCAAAATCGACGTCAAATAGAAGGGGGGAAAAAGGCAGCCATCCTCTCTTCACTTCTGGTGCATGCAATGAGTTTTCGTGGAGCAGCCGTCGCAAAACAGCAGTGCCACAACACTCTTCCTGAATGGTGGGTAGTCCACGGTATCTGTACGCATCCTACGCCCTCACGTTTACTGCGCAAGGCTCCGCATTTGCAACTGCTGTTTACATCTTACTACACGTTGGACGATGACACCCATTCAAAGGGCACGTCTCTGCTTCATTGGATAAAAGATACTTTTAGGAACAATCAGGGCAACCATTCCCCTAGCGTGACAGCCAATGCAATGCGTTCCGCTCCCTCATGTGCTTTGGTTTCACTGGCCCCGGTGGGACGTATATCGTTGCCTGCATTTTCTTCAGTCACCCTTGTGGGTAATGAAACGCCTGCCTGCAGTTTAAACGAAAACGTCAGCGTATGCAACAACAACAACAACAACAACGGCAGCAGCAGCAGCAACAACAAGAACAACAACAACAACAGC